AGACTGTTGCTGTTACTATTTCTTCGTCTAATTAAGCCTCTCAATTATCGAGTATGTTGTCCACATGGCATCCAAGTCACCAAACAAAGGCTCTTTCAACTCCTTTTCTTCCAGAGAGAATAAGATCCTTAAAAAGGCTACCTTTGTAAGTAAATATCTGACAAGCATCACGGGCAATGAAGAAGGATGGAAAAGATCCAGGGTCGCTGCCTCAATTTTCTTATATGTAGACAGAGCTCCCTCATAATCTACAACACTGTCAAAGAACAACTTCTGTTTTAAGCATACAAGGACAAAATCACAGCAAATATGAGCAAAACAAATCTCAAAATGCTGTATGAGAAATAATATTTATTGTTTATATACAAACAATGAAGAAGGATACTGCGATTATCCATATACAATCCAGCCTTGGCAAGCAGTGGTTCTAATTTTCTCTTTGCTCTTCTTTCCACTTCCGAAGTCCTGACATGTCCACATTTGCTGCATTCAAGATTCAGGTCCCGACTGTAAATTCCTGCATCTCCAAATAGAGAAAGATCAATTAGGCTCTAGATCTATCTAAAACAGTTTAGTTAGCATTGATATGACATACCGCATTTATCAACCAAGAAACCATCGCATTTGCCATGCTTGCATCGCAGAGCATCCAAAATTTGATCATCGATTTTATCATACTTACAGCAGCGGCGACATGAGCAAACAAAATGGTATTTTTCATTGAGATCGTCCCGTCGATCCCTGGTGGTTTGACAAAGGTCTATGTAACTTATCAATACCTTATTGGAAACAAAATAACAACAACTTAGTACTCGATCTTACCAACCAATAATCAAACATGTTGATTCAGAATTCATTTGTTACATATATTACCTCATCGCCTTTCCCCACAGGCAACAGAGCACGAAGTACAGCAAGTTTTCCCTCAAAAACCAAACTAGCATTGGGCAAGCAGCTATAATCCCAAAACGATTAAAGCCGTAAAGAGCAAACCCAAAAGAAATCACGAGTTCAAAAAAAGCTGTTAATCAGTTTTATCAGT